GCCAGGAGAGCGGGGACTGGTGAGGGAATAGCACCTGGGCCCTCAAAAGGTGAGAGGGCACGAAACCCGAGACCACAGCGGCAGTGGCCACAGATCAGGCCTTCGACCCGCCCACTCGGGCCTGGAGAGGCCCTCTTGGCCTCAACCGCTCATTGAGTCGGTGGCCGGGAGCCTGCCCGGTCAGATAAAGGAAGCGGGCCCTGCCCGGGCACCAGGGGATCTGAGGGGCCCTGGCCGCCTGCATCCTCACGGCGCCCCTCTCTCTTGGTTCCACCTGCCACAGGCTCCTGGACCAAGGCCCCGCCCTGGCCCTCTCCCGGGTGGGTGCTCTCCTGGGGCAGGGGGCAGTGCACAGACCACACTCCCAAACTGTTCCCTGTGGCTCTTTCCCTTATGGCGTAGCCGCCCCACCCCTGCCAGCCTGTGTCCTGGCCACACCAGTCTGCCACCTTGCACACTGCAGCGGCTCTAGTCACTCTGACCCACTCAGTGTTCCCGGACAGCCCGGCCGGCTCAAAGCTCAAGGCTTTGCTCGTGTGAGTCACTCCTGGTCGTGGCTGCCCCACCCCACCCCCGCCCCTTCTCACCTGCTCTCTGCGTCCCGGACAGCCCGCCCCTGCCTTCCCCATCCTTTGGTGACACAGGTGGGGCCCCAGAGGCAGGTTAGCCGGCTCCCCAGCTGAGGCGGCTGCCGAGAAGCTGACCTCGCACCGAGCAGCCTCGCGGCCCTCATCGGGCTGTGCCACAAGGCACACGGGGCCCAGAACGGGCTCCTTCCAAGCTGTCGCCCTCAATGCGCCAGCCAGCCACCTCTCCCACACGCTCTGGGTCACCTGGAGCGCGGGGCAGCCTGGAGCCCCCGTGGTACCCACCCCTCATGCTTGACGTGTGCCTTTCAGGCCCTTCCCCAGCACCTCCGCCCTCCCCCCGGACCTACCGTATCATTTCACCCTGCTGCCACTCGCAGAGCTGGGACAGAGGCTCCAGGAAAGGAAGGAGTGGGGCTTTGCCCCTGGAGGCCGGGGCTGCAGCTCCCTCTTCCCTCTGTCTCCTCGACACAGATTCGGGCCACACAGATGTCCCTTAGGTCCTGCTCGCTGATTTCTTAGGTCTCTGGGGTGACAAGGCAGGGAAGGGGTGATCATCGATGGCACAGTAGGAGACCAGCCAGGGCAGAGGCCCATGGCCTGAGGTCCACAGCCCCAGCCTGTCGGCCCCTTGGACCAGGCTGTGAACGTCGACGGCTCCCCGACCAGGCTCACCGCAGAGATAGGCCACAAGGGGGCAGCCCTGGGGTGCTCTGCTCGTGCCCCAGGCCTGGCTCCCTCTTGGCCCACCCCGGGCAGGGTGTAGGGAGGAGAGCAAGCGAAAGCCAGCTGGTGAGCGGTTGTCAATGTTTATTGAAAGACGGGGTGGAGGGCGGGCGCCAGCGGCAGCAACCTCTACCAGGGCACGGGCCGGGGGAGGGGCCGGGAGGAGGCTCTAGGGCTGAGGGGCAGGTTAGGCCAGGGCCAGGGAAAGCCTGGCAGGCGCACAGGCCCGCCAGGATGGGCGGCAAGGCACTGGCCCAGGTCCAGCTCCGGGCCACACGGCCCGGCTGAACGGCGGAGGCTGGCACTGCCCTGCTGCAGGGAGTGCGCCTCGTCACCCTGGGCAGCAGCATTACCGAGCCCCTGGCTCAGACCTTGAGACTCAGGCCGTCGGGTGGCACGTCCATGGGCTCGACACGGGCCCAGCTAAGGGCATATGCTCATCAGCCCAGGCGAGCAGCTCGGCAGCGTGGTGCAGAAAAACCATGAGCCGGGTGTGCACATGGCCCTCGGCTCCTCCTGGACGTAGCAGCGGAAGAGGCTGCCCAGGCTGTAACCCTTGCCGCCCTGGGCCCGGGTGCCATGGCTGTGAGCATGGTCCAGGCCCCGCGGCGCCGGCAGCGTACCCAGGCAGCTCCGTGCACGGCAGGGGGAAGTCATAATCGAAGCCGTTGTGCGCCACGAGGCACAAGGGGCCCTCCTGGCAGCTCAGGAAGGCCTGCGGTGTACGCACCACAGCGCTGTCAAAGCCGGCCTTCTGGCACCTGGCCAGGCCCTCGCTGCTCACGCCGGTGATCTCGCTGGCCTTGGCAGTGAACGGGCGCTCCGGGCTCATGCAGAGCGTGAGCTCATCCGGGACCTGGGGCAGCACCGGGGCGTCAGACTCATCGCGCTTGGGGTTCTCCAGCGAGGAGCGGTGGACGGCAAACAGGGAGAACTCGGCGATCTTCGGGTCCACGCTGGGGAGCCCGGTGGCTTCCAGGTCCAAGAAGACGAAGGTCTCAGCCTGGGGTCCCTTGGACATGGTGATGTTTTCACAGGGACAGTGAAGCCTACAGCTGCCCAAACAAGAGGCACAAAACCTGAGGGCCAAAGAGATGGGGATGCCTGGAGTTGGCCACCCACAGCCGTGCCCATGGCCAAGGTTCCAATCCTTCTGGGTTCACTTCCTGCCACTTCCCAAGCTGGGACCCAGAGACCAGGCCCTGTTACTTCTGTCCAGGATGAGGTGTCCTAGGGGGCTTGTCACCCCATCCCTTTTGTCCTTCAGTCCCTCCCCGACCATCCCCACTACTACCACCTAGTAAACAGCATAAGGAAGGCCTGATGTGCCCAGACCCCAGCCCAGAGGCCTCTGCCTCTTGCCTCCAGTATACGGACAGGAAGACCATGCCAGGTCCATGTCACTGGCGACTTGGGGAGGTGCAGCCCAAGATGGTATGGTCACGGACACACAGTGGCCAGGCGCCTCAGGCACAGCACCCCTGGGGTCGGCTGCCGGGACGCACACAAGGGGGCACCTGAGAAAGCCCTCACAGTGATCCCCAGCCTCCCTGGCTTGGCCTGTGCCCTGGCACGCGGGTGCTGGCCCCAACCCAGACCCCCGCCTGTCTCCGGGCCGCCGGCAGCTGCCACGCTGGCTTACCAGGAGCGGGCGCTGCTCGGCTTCCTGGGCTGTTGGGCAACCGGCTCCACACAGGCTGCTCCGAGTGACCTTTAATCTGTGGCCGCGCCCCCCTCCCCCCAGCTGCCTGTCGGGCAACCAGGAGGCCTGAGGCTGCAGGACCTGTGTGGCCGGCTCGCGGCCCCCTCGCTTGCCCACAGCCGCTGGGACACATGCCCCGTGTTTACAGATCGGAAATCCAGCTCCTGGGCCGCAGGCGGGGTCCCAACAACGAGCGAGCAGCGCAGCCCAGGCCGAAGGAACGTGTTGTCACAGGCACGAGGAGGAAGCCCGAGCCCTCCGCCCAGCCCTGCCTCCCAGTGTAACTTAGGTTCAACACCCAGCCCCAGGCTGGGGCATCTCCCACAGGGGCATCTCCAAGGCACAGCTCCCCCCACCGTCACCAGTGAGCCGGTTGCCCCTCGTGAAGCTGAAGTGAGCTGTAAGGACAGGCCTTGGTGCGGGCTCATCTTCCACGAGGAATGAGAGATGGTATCTGTTTCTCGGATATAAGGACCCAGAACTTCTCAGGAGCCTTTAGCGGAGGCTGCCAGGGAAGGAGCAAGGGAAGCGAGGCAGGCGGGGGCAGCCCTCCACCGAGCCCTGTGAGATCGGGTGTGGGGGCAGCCCGGAGCCACCCAGCCCCCAGGCTCCGGGGCCTTCCCAGCCCCAATGGCTCAGTCGAGGGTGAAGGGCACAGTCAGAACAGGAGGGGAATGAGACGGCCCTCCGTGATCCAGGAAGCGGGTGACCTCATCCCCGGGACCTCCTCCCGGGGCAAGACATGCCAGCACTCGGCAGTGGGCGCTCACAGGCCCAGTCTCCTGCCGCAGGTCTTCCAGAGTCCCCTGGTCTGTAAAGCTGTCAGTGAACCTGGACTGCGGTGCCCAGGGGCCTGCCCGTCCTCCCACCTCCCACGGCAGCCATCTGGGGGATGCCCCAGGCAGGCAGGGGACCAGGCCTGGGGGCTCTGGCAGCCCAGGTGGGAGGGGGCCCAGCGCCCAGCCCCTGGAGCCTCCTTGCCTGCAGCAGCCACAGGGTCCTTGGGGAAACGAAGGTGCAGATGCAGGGGCAGGGCCGCGTGGGCGCAAGCGAGGCGGCGACCAAGCGCCGAGGGATGCCCCTCCCCCACGGCCTTCCGCCTGACGCTGGGCTCAGGGAGGCGGGGCCCCACCAGTGGTGCCGGCTCCCGCGCTTGAAGGGAGGGAGGTGGCTGTGAACGGCGCCCTGCTCACGGGAGATGCAGAGAACAGCTTCCTGGCCAACCAATCAGGCCACCGGCAAAAATCCCCCAGGCCAGTGCCCGGTGACCTGGGGAGGAAGGAGGAGGAAGCACACGCTCCACTGGCCGCGACCCAGACGCAGCGGGCGCCAGCGGCCAGGCCGTGGGGCAGCAAGGAGACCTCACGGGGCATCCCCAAGGCCGGCCCCAGGGGAGGCAGCGGAACGGGGCAGGGGGCGGGCGGGGAGCTCTGGCGGCATTCAGCCAGAGGTCGTGACGAGGCATCACCAAGCTTAACAGGCAGTGGCGGCGGCTCGTGGGACAGGCAGGATGGGGCAGACAACCGAGCAGCCCAGGCCGCACAGACGAGGGCAGGATTCACTTCGTGATACAACAAAAACTAACACACCACCGTAAAGCAATTATACTTCAAGAAAGATGTTTAAAAAAAAAAGTAGGCTGGAGGCAACTTCTTAGAACCTGAGCTTTCTTTTGTCCCCAGCTCACACCGCCCCGACCCACCTCCGGGCCCTCGTCACGCCCCCCCCCAATCGCTGACGGTACGGAGCACGTGGAGGGCAGCCTGGGGAGCACGGGGGCTGGCTGCTGCCTGGCTCTTTGGGGCAGAGTGCCCTGCTCCCAGGCTACTGCAGGCCATTGGGCAGGCCATCGTTGAAGACCTTGTATTTCCAGGTTACCCCTCCCATTCTGATGGCTGCAGAGAAAAGAAAACAGCAAAGTCAGTCCAGCACTTCCCAGCCCGTCTCTCCACTGGCCTTCCTCAGGTCCCAGGCCCCACCCCCCCGCCCCCACCCCCACCCCCGAGCCAGGAGCCGTGAAGGGAGCCAGGGCCCGGTGAGCACGGCTGGAAGTCCCCGCGGGCGCCAGGCCGAGCCCCAGGCCGGGGTCCACTCGCTTGGCCACGTCCCTGCCCACCCCCGTCCCCGGAGCCCAGGAGCGAGGAGCTATTCTGATTTTGATGCTGTGTGGATTTTAGTCAGACCAGCAACCAGTGCACACCCGTCCTCTGCCCTCCCACACAGCAACGTCGGCAACTGGCATTTGGTCGCGCCCACCCCAAGGGCGACTCTGAAGTCAGGAATCATGCGGTGGGCCTCAGCCACCCTCCCTACTCACCATCGACACTCCCTCTGGGGACGGTCACGTCTCTCCGCAGATAGGATTTGGGGGTGTCACTTGCCTTTACTAAATCCTCAGGTTTTCCCAACCTCTAGACGCCCCAGCCCCGCTCTGCTCCCGGGGCTCCCCCGACCCCGGGCGCGTCCTCAGCTCACACGTCTCTCCTTTGTTCCGGGCCCTCGTCCTGCCTTGCCTTCTCTTGGCTCAGGGCTTGGCTGGGTCGTGTTGTCTCTGGAAGCCTGGGCCCTGCTGCTGCGTCCCAGCTACTCCAGATTGCAGGAGACTAGGCCTGGGGATGCGTCTTCGCGGTCCACCTGCTCTGTACTCAGCCCTCAGCTCTGCGACCTCCGCCCTCCTCCTTCCTTCCTTTCTCCGCATCAGGCCTCTGTGCTGCTTTTCTTTGTCCTTGTTTTGTTTATCCGCCCCATTCTTAACTCCTAAGGGTGCCTGCTTGCGCTTCTCCTTGTTGGTGTTTCCTAGGTATGTTTGGACAAGATACTATGTTAATTCAACTTGGTTGGAAAGTTCTGTTATCTGAATGACCCATGAGGCCTACTTTTCCAGGTCTTTCTTCTCTCTTCCATGGTGTTGGTCCAGGCTGGGGAGAGGAGGCCCTCAGAGGCCAGAAAGAGGTGGCTTTCACCTGGCCACCAGCCATGTCAGGAGCCCGAGCTTGCCATGCATGTCGATCATTTTCCTCACAGAAGAGCAGGCTAGTCTCCCTGGGAGCGCCAATCTGTACGGACCTGCTCTGCTTACGCCCTCCGCTTCCAGCCCACCTGCCACCGTCCCCGCCCTGGGACTGCCGGCCACACCGCCGTGGGGCTGTCCTCGTGGTTGCAGCTTTCTCCCCCCATTGCATCCATCGAATTGCCTCCATGGACTTTGCTGCTTCCAGAAACCTGTTTGTTTTCAAAATGCATTGATATTTTGATGGCCTGGGAGGCAGAAGGGGCTTTGGGTCCGCCCAGTCGAGCCGGTGACGGGTGAATGACGATGGGACGAGCTGCCCACCCACATCGCCAAGGCCCTGCCCACACACTCGAGGCCACGGCTCTGGGCGCCAGCCCTGTAGGCGCACCCAGTCCCCTCACTCAAGCCCCTCACTTCAGGTGTGGGGACGTGTGACCAACATAGCCTGGCTACTGGCACCCAGATCGGTGGCCTAGCTTCTTATACGGGGAGGTGAAGTAGCACAGACACACGGACCTCCCACAGTGGTGGGCCCGAGGCCGCAGAGACCAAGGCCCTTACTCTCTCAGGTAGACACAAGGGAAACGCCAAGGCGCCTCCAACTGGCCCCTGGCGTGGAGTTGCCAGGGGTCATTTCTCTGCTGTGTCTATAGCCTAAGAACGAGTCTCAGACAACACGAGGAAGCAACGCTGACCACAGCGCTTGCACTCTAGACTCCCTGGATTCCATGGCGAGCAGACACTTCTCTGCAGGCACAACAGGGGAAGCGGAGGGGTTCACGCAGCTTAGACAGGAAAGGCGAAGGCTGCCGCTGTCCTGTGAGCACGGGGCAGGTGGCACGCCGTGGAGAGCACTCGCGGTCACTAATGTACTAACAAGAGCATGGGCTGCAAGCACAGTACTAACAACAACTACACACGGGGTGAGACTCACAGCAACAGCGGTGATGAGGATAAACGTTAGGATGGATGTTTAAATGGAGGCTTCTGCTGCAGTTCAGTCAGAAAGAGGCACTCCTGGGTGCCCAGGTATACACGTGGTGAGCGCGTGCACGAGGCCAAGAGCGGCGAGAAGGCCCGCGAATTCACGCAGACAGCCCCCCATGGGAGGGCTCGGGGCTATGTGGCCTGAAGCCAGTCCTTGGGGGTGCACTGGGTGGGGGGGATTGACAGGCAAATGCTGGAGTCGCCGTTGCCTCAGGCGGTGGATAAGAGTTGGGGCAAACAGTAGACCAACCAGAAGGCGCAGAAGGAGAGGATGGGAAAGGAGATGCCCACGAGGGCTCTGCAGAGCTCTGACAGTCCTGGGAATCTAGAAGGCCACGCGCACGCCCCGGGGCTGTGCGGGCACCCAGGAGAGACCTGAGACGGCCCTGAGCCGGTGCCTCTGCTCGGCCTCTAAGAGGGTGGGAGCAACAAGAAGTGAGGCGGAAGGAAGAGTCGTCAGCCACCTGGCCGAGCGTGGATGAGAAACACGAAGCTACGTGTACCCAAGAAGCTCAAAAACCCCCAAATGAGAGAAACGCAAAGCGACCCGCACCGAGACACGCTATAATCAGACCGCCAAAAGCCAAAGGGCAAGAGAGGTCGGAGAACGGGAGAGAGAGGGGACTGTGCAAGGGCCTCGGCTACGAACCGATGAATGTCAGCAGATCACAGACCCCCACGTGGGCGGTGGGCGCACAGGGAGAGAATTCTCAGCGGGCAGGGACAGCGCTTGGCCGCGGGCAGGCAGAGGTGGTGGGAGTCTCTAGCGTGCGAGGCATGTTCCATTTCTTAGCCGGGGTTGTGGTTACGCAAGTACTGGCTTTAAAGTCATTGGAACTGGATTGAAGGGGAAATATCCAACTTTTCACTTTTCTCTCTCTAAGACTCAGAGAAAAGGCCATTTTTCTTATCACAAAAGAACAACAACAACAAAAACCTTTTCTGAGTGTTTTTTTATCTAAGAAAAATAGACTTACTCAGAAAAAAAAGTTTAAAATTAAATTCAGATACAACTTTGCCCCTATCCAACAGCAGAAAGGTTGGAAGGTTCAAAGCCAGCGCTGACGAGCATCAGTAAGATGGAGACCGCTGGCCTCACTGACAAGACAGCGGGAACCCCGCCTCGGGATGGAAGCGCAAATGTCGAAACATGTTCACTGTGACCTTTTTTAAACATTGACCATCAGAGGAGAAATTCTCTGTGTAATACATGTTCACTGGGGAATATGTGAAGGCTGCAGAGCAGGATAAAGAAAGACTAAACGAACTAAAACACCTCTGATTCCAACACAGAGCAAACCAGCGTCCATGTTCTAGCTGAACTCCTAGAAGGGATTCTTCTACATTTTTTTCCCTTTAGATAAGTGAAATCATACTGTATATTTCTTTTTTGTGTGGTTTTTTTTTTTTGCGGTACGCGGGCCTCTCACTGTTGCGGCCTCTCCCGTTGCGGGGCACAGGCTCCGGACGCGCAGGCTCAGCGGCCATGGCTCACGGGCCCAGCCGCTCCGCGGCATGTGGGATCTTCCCGGACCGGGGCACGAACCCGTATCCCCTGCATCGGCAGGCGGACTCTCAACCACTGCGCCACCAGGGAAGCTCCTGTATATTTCATTTTTAACCTGCATTTTCCTTTTAACATTACACGATACACATTTGCTCATGTCACTGTAATCAAGTTTTGAAACAACAAATACCGTCCCACCATATTCATATACCAGAATTTACTCAAGCATTACCCAAGGGTAAAACCTGGGATTGTTTCCATTTGTCACTATTGTAAATCCTGCGACAGCATCATGTGAAACGGTATAAAACTAAAAATGACCTACAGGGTCAGTAGTAGAAAATGTTAAGTAAATTATAGCAAATGCCTGAAAGGAAGTGTCTGATGATTAAAAATGTGACTTCAAGAACATGGGAAAACGCTTAAAATGAGATCCACGGGAAAGAATATAATAGTGTATACATGTTGTAATTCTACTCACCTCACACAAAGAAATAAAAGATGACGAGAGGAAACGGAATAGAGGGAAACAGACCAAAATATTAACACCGACCATCTCTGGGCCACCACATTACGTAATGTTTTTAGTTTACCTCTGCACGTCTTTACGTTACGTCTTTACGTTATCCCAATTTCCTACAATTAATGTTTTTATTTTATAATCCGTCAGACGAGTTTTCAAGGGAAGGAAAACCTTAAGCATTGGAAAAAGAAGAAGAAAAGTGAGAGGCCAGTCCCCAAATGCGGGTCAAGCACAGAAGGAGGCAGGCACTAAGCGGAGGTGCACCGTGAAGGCCCTGTCCCTGCCCACCGGACGGGTGGCCACAGCCACAGAAAAGTGGTGACCACATACCTAGACTCATCACAGAATTGTTGCTGCCCCAACAGATCTGCTTGCCCTGCTGCTGCTTCGCCATCCGCACGGCTTTCACCGAGGTGTCAGTGACCTCCACGACCGCTTTCAACAGCTGGGAGGGAGGGAGGAAGGGAGGGAGGGAGGGAGGGAGGGGACTTGTGGGCTTGAATGCTGGTGGTCTGACCCACAGAAGGTGTCTCCTGCTTCCCACCCAGGTTGACGCCAAACATGTGCGTCCACCCACCAGCCCAGGGTGAGGGCAGGTCTCCCAGCTGGAGACTCACCCATCAGAGCTCCCCAGGCTAGCTCCTCCCCCCTGGCCCAGCGGGGACGCCACACTATCACTGACCCCATCCCACAGAGGCCACGCAAAGCCAGGGTCACGGTGGGAAAAACACTGTCCCAAAGTAAAAGGGCCTTTCTGCTGGGAGAGGATGTGCCCTAACTCAGCCTGTCGGTAGAACTGCAAAGGACAAGCCGGTCAGAGGTTCGGAAGTCTAGGAGCTTTTTTGTTGAAAAACCAAGGCCAGCATCATGGAAGCCCTGAGCACATGTCAGAGTTCCACGCATGGTGACTGTACTCACAACCGTAACCAAACCTAGCACTCCAGGCCAGCCTCTGGGGCTCTGAGGCAATACTGATGTAGTCAGCGCAGCAGCGTGAGGCCACTTTTTCTCATCTGTCTGAACCGGGTCAAGGGCACAGACAGGCAAACTTCTGTCTATCTGTCTGGCATAGTTCTTGGCCACACAAGAACGAACAGGCTGTGATACATTTGGGTGTTTCGTGAAGACAGAGTAAGGCCAATACAGGGACAGAAGCTGGAGGCGGGACGAGGGTCTCCCACATTCAGCTAGGACCCAGTGCAGGCCGTGCGCCCGGGGTCTCGGCTCAGCTGGCACTCCCCTCCATGGCACCGTGAGAAACGCCTGCCCCAACCCGCCACCCACTCGCAGGGAGTCCAAGCCTGTCCAAGCCCTCAGGTCCCTCACTGGGGGCTAGGGTGGCGCCTGGGAGGGAGAGGGAGGGGTGAGGGTGACGCTTACTTGGCTGCATGAGGTCAGAGTCTGGTACACGGCCTGGATGATGGGGCCGCACGGGCGGAGGTTGGGGCCTGGGCGCTGGCAGCAGTCTCCCAGCTCATCGTCATAGACTTGCAGGAAAGCCACGATGAGCTGCCGGAAGTCAGAGATGACCAGGCGCAGCTTCTGGTCTAGGGTGCTGGCGTCGGCCCCACCCACAGCGGCTCCTTGCTTGCGCTGTGCAAAGCACTGCAAAGCCAGAGGCGGAGGGTCCCTTGAGGCTGCCCTGCCTGTCGCGGGGCACCAGGTCCCTAACCCGCTTTGTGAGGCGGGGTCTGCCGCCCACTCCATGCTTCCCAGAACTGGGAGACAGACAGAAGACCAGAGGCCTGCATGGGCCTCAACATCCTCCTCGCGACCTCAGTAATGAGGCTGGGTCCAGGGCTGCGGGGAGGGCCACACGCCGAAAGCCCACCCGAGGACGGTCCTGTCCACTCCTCAAAGAGCCTCCCCACTCCTGCCTTCACGGAGCCTGAGTACCCATCACATTCTAGAAACTGGTGGGCACCCACCACCTTGCTTAGGCCTCCCGACACACTCATCGTAAAGACGGGGTGTCTGAGGCTGGGGTGGGCGACGTGCCTCGCCTTAGGACACGTAGCGGGGCCCCTGCGCCCCTGCGGCTGGCGCCTCACCTCCACCCTGAGCGACTGCAGCTTCGAGGCACTCTCCTGCAGCTGCCGGGCCAGCTCTGCCACCTTGTCGTCCTCTGACTCGATGGAGGGGCTGGCCCTGCAGGGAGAGAAGGGGGGACACTTCTGCCCTGTGCCATCACGGGCACTGGGGCACCTGCGGGCCACGCACAGAAGGCTCTGTCCCAGGTAACAGACCGAGCGGGGCGTGTACCTCTGCCAGGCATTGCTCTGCTTGTCGAGAAGTGGCTGCACGCCCAGGGGCCACGCGTCACACTCGGGGCTCAGGAGCATCTGCAGGTGGGGGCTCAAGAAGAACTCCGCCAGCAGCGCCTCATTCTTCTCCCGGGTGTCCTCGAAGTGCTCTTTCACACTGCAAAGGCAGCCCCAGGGCCACGCCATCACCGGCCAGAGACCCAAGAGGCCAGATGAGACCGGGCAGAGAGGCCAGGAGAAGGCATCTCCTCCAGTCTCCGAGAGCCCACCCACGTGTGGAGACACCGCGGGTGCCCACCCTCCGCCGGGGTCAGCCCGTGTTCTCCGAGGCCCGCACCACACCTTCATGCCGACAGCCTGGCACCTCGGGTGGCACCCCGGGGTGGGGGTGGGGCTTCCTGCCTAGGCTTGCGGCCCACAGCTCCTGGGCCAGGGAGCAGCCGCCTCTACGGGAGCGGGGAGCGGAGCCCCAGCCGGAGCTGTGCCCGGGGCTGGGCCCCTAGCCCCTCCAGCGCCAGACGGAGGACCAAGGGCGCCCACCGGCCGTTCCAGGGAGGGCCCGTCCCGAGCCTTTACCTGCGGCAGCTGGAGCCTCCGACAGTCAGGCTCCGGACCACGTCCAGCAGCTGGTCCATGAAGCGCAGCTGCTTCTGGGCACAGGCCCGGCCCTGGGCAGGAAAGGCCACATGCACTCACTGGCCAGGCATGCCACGTGCCCCCAGCCCGCAGCTGGCCCCTACCCAGTAGCCTCGTGGACTGGCCTGGGGCCCCTGGCACAGCAAGACAGGCCATGGCTGTGGCCTGCGCCGAACCCACTCCTTGCGGGGAACAAGAGCTCGTCCCCAAGGGGCGGCAAGCAGCCAGGCCTTACAGCCAGGCTTCCCAAGTGGCAGCCGACTCAGCCCCCTACCCCAAAGGCGGCTGGGACTCCCGGCAGGGAGCTGTCTGGCCAGGAGCTCAACTCCTTCCTCCTTCCAGAAAGGGGAGGAGGCTCACGGCTGATCCCCATGATGTAAATACAACCCGAGGGGCCCAGCCTGCTCCCTAGAGCCCTGCATAAGCAAGGATGCTGGGAGGTAAGCTGGGCCCGGCTCTCCGCTCGAGCTCCTCGCTGGCCTGCCCTGACACACCGCTATTCTGGGGAACGCACCAGAAAGATGCGCTCAGCCAGCATCACCGGTGACTCAGTATAAAGCCCTCCAAGAAGCACCTGCATTTAAAGTGGGCTGAGAGCTCGGTGCTTTGTGACCACCTAGGGGGGTGGGAGAGGGAGGGTGGGAGGGAGACGCAAGAGGGAGGAGATGTGGGGATATATGTATACGTATAGATGATTCACTTTGTTATAAAGCAGAAACTGACACACCATTGTAAAGCAATTATACTCCGATAAAGATGTTTAAAATAAATAAATAAAGTGGGCTTAGAGGGAGAGGGCTGAGAGGCTCCTGGTGGCATCTCAGGCTGGGCAGCCCTGTGTGGGGAGCAGATCTGGGGACAGGGCCACATTCTGCTATCATGTTTGCAGCTCAGTTCCCCGTTCACGAGTCTCACGGCTGCGGCTGCCTGGCTCTCGGCTGTGTAGCCAAGAGCTACCTCCTGCCAGTGTCCTTGCCCAAACAGGCAAGGACACCACCTATACACCTATTCCTGGGAATAGGAGGTGGGAGGTGGGACACTGTCTAGACAGAGGAAATCCTGGGCTGAAATATGAGACCAAGCGCCACTCAGGATCTCACAAAGGCTTGACCAGCGGCCAGGGTTGCGTGCCGTCCCTTCCTCAACAGACCCGGCTCCAGGAGACCCCCCCAAGCCCAGGAAAGGGTAAGTGTCCCTCACAGCCTGTACACTGAAAGCTACAAAACATCTCTAAGAAAAACTAAAGAAAACCTAAACACGTGGAAACACAGCCCGTGCTCAAGGATAGAAAGAGTTAATATGGTTGATGGTAATACTTGCCAAGGTGATCTACAGATTCAACACAATCTTCATCAAAATCCCGATTGGATTTTTTGCACAAATTGATAAGCTGATTCTAAAGTTCATATGCAAATTCAAGGGACCCCTAATAGCCAAAACAACCTTAAAAAAGAGCAAAGTTGGAGGATTCACATGTCACAATTTCCTACAAAGCTACAGTGATCAAGGCAGTGTGGTACTGGCATAAGGACAGACATATAAACCAATGGAATAGAGTAGAGAATCCAGAAATAAACCCTCACTTTTACGTTAACTGATTTTCCACAAGGATGCCAAGGTCTTTTCAACGGTGCTGGGAAAACTGGATAGCCACATGCAGAAGAATGAAGTTGGATGCATACCTTACACCACACATAAAGCTAACTCCAAATGGGTCAAAGACCTAAATATAAGAGCTAAAACTATAAAACTCTTAGAAGAAAACACAGGTGTCAATCTTAATGGCTGGATTTGGCAATAGATTCTTATATATGAAACCAAAAGCACAAGCAACAAAAGAAAACTAGATAAACTGGATTTCAACAATGCTAAAAACTTCTGTGCTCCGAAGGACACATCGAGAAAGTGAAAAGACAAGCCACAGAATGGGAGAAAACATTCGTAAATCAAATATTTGATGTGACTTATATCCACGATATATAAAGAGTTCTTACAACTCAATAATAAAAAGACAAATAACCCAATTAAAAAGTGGGCAACGGAAGCGAATAGAGACTTTTCTCCAAAAAAGATATACAAATGGCTAATAAGCACATGAGAAGATGTTCAACATCATTAGTCATCAGGGAAACGCTAACCCTTCACACCCACCAGGATGGTTGGTGTCAAAAAGACAAGAACAAGTGCTGGTGAGGATGCGGAGAAACTGGAACCCTCGCACATTGCTGGTGAGGATGTAAACAATTGTAAAATGGCGGCTCCTCAAAAAGTTAAACAATTCCACTCCTAGCTATATACCCAAGAGAACTGAAAACACGTCTTCTGTCACAAACATATAAAGAACAGTCACAGCGTTGCTTGTAATAGCGAAAATGCGAAAATAATTCTTTCAAATATTCTTTTTAAATTTTAAGGGTAGGTGCAGGGTTTCTTTGACTGATATGGGGGTGGGTTAGGCCTGCCTCTGCATGGAAGCCCACGGGTGGGCAGCACATGGGGGAAAGTGCAAGGGCTCAGGAGCCAGAAGCCTGGGTTTGAGGCCAGGCTCTGTCACTGGGTAACCTTGAGAGACTTGTCTGTCACCTTCCCCATGAGATGGGGCTAAGACAAGTACCTCCTGCCAGTGCGGGTGTGACAGTTACTGGCATGTAAAGTACTTACCACGGTGTCGGTGTGCATGAAGCCGTCCACCAAGGACAGGATGTGCTCCTGCCCCTTCGGTCATCACAAGCCAAAGATCCTTCCCGGCCTCCTCAGCCACCCTCCCCTCTCGGCGCTAGGGATGACTGGGGTCTACCCAAAGGAATCCTAGGGGTTCCTGCCCCAGGGGGCTAAGGAGCGGGGACTGTGGGCGCTAGCTCCTGGGCCTGAGGGAAGAAAGCCCTCCCATGCCCACCCCAGCGTCACCGAGGCCCCCGGCCCATGGGGACAGAGGGCCTTCTGTTACCTTCAGGAGCTCGTGGTCATCCAGCCCACACAGCATCAGCTCATGGCCCAGTTTCACCATCTCTGTTGGAACACAAGGACCCAGTTACCACAGACACCCACCCAAACAGCAAGGACACCACACACCCATGCAGGGTGCCGAGTGCTTCCCTGGTAAGGGTGCTCCTGCTGTAGCGTCAGCGGGCCCAGCACCCATGAGGCCGGGTTGGGCCTGCAAGACCCAGGTATACAAGGATGCAGGTGGAGGACACACCAGGTGCCAGGACTGCCTCTTGCTGTGTGACCTATATCCAGTCACTGCCCTTTTCTGGGGGCCAGTTTCCTCACCTGAAATAAGAGGTCGCACTCAGTGCTCTTCCATATAGGGAACTCTTGCTTCTAGCAGAAGCCAGCCAGCTGCCTGAGGAGCCCACAGAGGCCAGGGAACCTTCCAAACATGCTGTGTGTCACTGTTTCAGAGACCTCGCCAAGCCAAAGCAAAAGGAACCATCTCACATTTGTCAATCTCCTGCACACCTTTCATGCCAGCATGTCCCTTCATTTTGCTGGCAACCCTAGGAGATGGCAACCCTTTCATCTCACAAATTGGGAAACTGAGTCCCTGCGTGGTGCAAGAAATGCTGGGCCACGGCTTCCAGGGAGCCCCGGGCATTTTCTGAGTAACCACCTGGTATACGAAGAAAGGCCAGAACTTGCAGCCAGAAAGCCTGGGGTCAGTGCTCGCTCCATACCCCTCCCCCCAGCCCTGCAGCAATGCCCTTACCCTCACAGCTCCCACCCTCATATGCCTCAGTGGCAGGACACACATCTGCTTTGGAAGGTTTGCTGCTAGAAGCAGAGCATCTCCAGTCATCCTGGAGACACGGTACAAATGCCAGTTATACCCCCAGCACACGTGCTCAGCCCACACCCCTTCACCCCGAATCCTTGCGTACGCCCTGGCCTCCCTCTCACTTAGCCCACGTCCGAGTCTCATCGTGGCCGGACTCGTGCCCTGTTAGACCCAAAGGCAGGCTGCAGCCCTCCTCAGAATAAAGGCCAACATCCTTCTGCGGCCCACAAGGCCGGCCTGATCTGGCCCCGTGGCCCCTCTGACCCCATCCCAGCCCTTGCCCTCACTCTACACCCTACGTCAGCCACCCCGGCCTCCTGGCTGCTCCTCCAAGCTGCCAGCCACACACAAGCCTACCTCAGGCCCCTTGCGCTTGCTGTCCTCCTGCCCTGAACGCTAACCTTCCTGATACCTGCCTGGCTCCCTTCCTCCCTTCCTGCATGGCTGTTTTTTTAAACAAAGGCCTTCCCCTGCCACCTTGTGTCAACAGCTCCACCCTCCTCCCAACCCACCCGAGCGCCACCTTGCCTTCACCTGGCTTGTTTGTGGCGCTTCTCACCATCTGATGCACTGAGAATTGGCCGCCTTCTGTGCATCAGCTGCCTCTCCCAGCTAGCAAGTGAGCTCCGTGAGAGCAGCACAACTCACTGCTGCACCGCCAGCACCTAAAACAGTGCCGGGTGCACAGTGGGTGCTCCATAAACACCCGTCACGTGAATTTGTGGCTTCTAACCCCCCTACCTGTCCCGGTTTCTCCCAATGATACTCTTTCACAAGCTCTCGTGTCTACCACCTGCTCTGCCACTCAGCGCACTCCCATGGGGTGGGCAAGGCTGAGCGCCCACACTTTACAGAAGAGGAAACTGAGGCAGGGAACAGAAAGGGCCAGGGTTGGCACCTGTGCGTGCATGTGTGTTAGAGGATCCAGGTGTGGCCTGATGACCAGGCTCGCCCGGCCTCGACACGGTCCCATCAGGAGGAAAGTGGCGGACATGACAGTGCTGGGGAGAAGGGCAGCGCCTCTGTGCAGCCCAGGCCGGCCCCCAGGCCAGCCCCGCAGGCTCCAAGACACAACCCCTGCTCTTCTGGCCCACTGCAGCCTCAGGGACAACTGTCCCCAGATAACTAACTTGGCAGTGCCAGCAGCGGCACGGGTCAGGAATCTGGGGTCCAGTTAACCCACCCTGGAGCTGGTGGGGGGAGGGAACACAGGCCCCTGGAAGGATGGACCTTTGGAAACACTGTTGTGTGGGCAGAGAGCCAGCCACCATCTTGAGGACTGCAATGCACTCCCCTTTACCTAATGTTCATGGCTGGGTTAAGGACAGTTTCTGCCAAAAAGCGATCAAAAAGAAGCGGTTCCAAGATAAGGCCCCACAGGCCCACAGAGCGCTGCCCAGCGCGCTCCCGGGAATGCCTCATGTCGCGTGCACGCACACACCCCAGTGCAACGCGGACGGACCGCTGGTGGCGTCGGCGAGAACGGCTGTCTCTGCCCCCAGCACCTCCGTGGATGGGCTGGCAGGGTCTCCTTCACGTGTGCAAGGGAGGGTGGGTCCTAGTAGGCTCTGGTAATATCCACGGAGTGCGCACCATGCAGGAGAAACCACCAGTCCAATGGGAAATTCGCGACCTGCTAAGGAGGCCGTGCACCAGGTGAGAATGGCCCCGAACCCGCCATTCAACACGAGACTCCCACAGCGGAGACCCACCTTGGATCTTCACCTCGGCTGAGGCCCCCTTAGGTGAGCTGAACCTGTCTTGCCAGGAGGGACAGACCCTGCAGGGAAAGAGCAAAGCCCAGTCAGGCCTGAGTGGGCTGCAGGGGCCCCTCACACCCCTCCTTACACATGCTCTCAAAAGCGAATCTTTGTGCCTAGGTGCTAAATACCACTGGAACACTCACTTTAAAATGGATAATCTCATGTGATCTCAACTCCGTAAATTATCAGAGAAACAAAAAACCAAAATATTTCTGAACGCTTACCTCAGAAATGCGAATGTGAATACTGAAATTAAAATTCTCACAATAAGGCTTCCCTGGTGGCGCAGTGGTTGAGAGTCCGCCTGCCGAGGCAGGGGACGCGGGTTCGTGCCCCGGTCCGGGAAGATCCCACATGCCGCGGAGCGGCTGGGCCCGTGAGCCATGGCCGCTGGGCCTGCGCGTCCGGAGCCTGTGCTCCGCAACGGGAGAGGCCACAGCAGTGAGAGGCCCGCGTACCGCAAAAAAAAAAATCTCACAATAAAAGACATGAAATGACTGCCCAAGAGAAAACACTGAGTTCCTCAGAGCACTGAGCTCTTTATCAGGAGGAACCCGGGGGCTGGCTTTTCTTGCAATCATGGCGCAGGTCTATTTGGAGGATGTCCGAAATGGCCTTCCCTGCTCTGGCGTCCTTGCAGGCCTGGCTCGGGCCCCCTCTCGCACCTCTACGTGTGTGCCTGCCCTTCTCCGCCTGCAGCGCTTTCTTCCCGCCCAAGCCAAGCACACAGAGTTGGCTCCAGCTCATCCCATGAAGCCCACGGCTGACATCACCGCCCCAGGGAAGCCAGGGGCGGGCTGGACATGCCTGCAGCCAGCTTGGCATCCTTCCGTCACTGCGGGGCCTGGGAGCTGTCTTTCCACTGCGCTCTGACCGCCCAGATTTCAGGCTCACCGAGGCCAGGAGCTGACTTTCTGTTCTGTATTTCTAGGCCCTAACGTGGCAGCCAGCACTGAAATGGTGGCCAGTGGGCATTAACGAACGGATGACCACAGCCCCATGTCACAGAATAATCTGCCATTAGTAAATGCCCATGCTGAGCTCTCTCAACAGAGGGAATGTTTTTAAACTAACATAAGTTAACAGGAGATGATGCTACCCCAGGTCACAGCTTTGAGCCAGCCTCCCAGGTGGGCAAACAGCAATCCCAGCTGTCCCCCCGGCTTGGTGGAGCCCCAGCCTTGATGATGCCACACAGATAAACGGGACAGTGGCCACCTGTAAGCATCTTGCCTTAAGATGCCCAGCTGACGGGCAAGACCATTTCCAGACACAGAGCACATCCAAAGGCAGTAAGGGGTGCGATACACTGGCAGGCGTCACAAGTGACGCACAGCACAGGCCTCCCACTGGGTCTCTTCCATGAGGGGTGCAGTCTGAGCGCCGCGTCCCCAGCCCCAAGCTCCACGCCTGGCACAGCACCGAGGCCATGGGAACTTCGCTCCAGCTGCTTGCCAGGGAGCCCCAGGATGACTGGGGCCAGGACCCCGCCCTGCTATGGCAGTACGGGGGACCAAGCCTCAGCCCCAGGGACCTGCTGACTCACTCGTCACGGTGGGAGAGGGCAGGGTCGGTGTTCGGCGGAAAAGGCTCACTGTTCCTTCCCTGTCTTCCCTGTTCCTTCCCATGCCTCCAAACGCCTTCATCCCAGGTCACACCGGCCCCAACTACGCTGGGGCCCTGGAAGCTAGTGGAGCTGCCCTGACCCGACCTGAGGCACCAGCCCCCCCGCTACTTGCAGGACTGCAGGGAAGAGGGGGCGGGGCAGCCACCCGTTCTGCCAAAGAGGGCTGGGCGAGTAAGGGCGGGAGGAGGAGCCCCGCTGTGTGAAAAGCTAGGAGGCTGGCCCTGGGCCTGGTTGCTAGGCAACCTTCCCACTCACAGAGCACCAGAGAGCAGAGAGCGCTCAGCGATCCATCAGGCTGGACCTCAGCAAACCACTTCAACACGCTAAAGAATAAATCCCCAAAAGCCTGAGTGACCTCACTCGAAAGGGCTTTCATTAGAGTTGATTTTCCTGAAGCAGCAGGGAGCAGGGCAGAAACTAACGGTGCTCAAGGCCTTGAACGCAAGTACAGCTCTTCGGGAGCCTTAACCTCAGCAATCTAGGGGCCCCACGGCTCTGCCCCGCCCGTGCTGAGGGCCAGCTTGGCATAGAGGACCCCAAGAGCCACCACGCCCAGCCCCCCAGCCAATGCCGCGTGCAGTTTCCAGGTTCCGCCCAGACAGGGGTGAATAGGTGGCCCTAAAGGAGGCTGAAGTGGTGAAGCCACGTGCAAAGAAGCCAGCAGGAAACTGGGAGAAACCGGACTGTGCAATCCTCTGGCCATCGAAAGGCCTACGGCACTTCTGCCAGCTTGGGAATCATAAAAAGCAACCGGACATTACCTGGTTGCTTCTTAAAAGGATTCTGTTTCTTGTATTTAAAAAAGCACTGAAAGCATTTGAGGACTGCAGCCAGAGGCTCTCACCCATGCCCCCTATGGCCAGCAGAGGGACCCAGTCCCCAGCTTGCACCTGGGCCAGGCAACTCTGGGCTGCCTCCCACGAGAGCCTAAGACCTGACTCTGGCCTCCCTCCGCCTGGGAGCGTGTTCAAGACCCCCGAACTAGCCCAGGCCATCCCCACTACTCTCTCTCCTCCCAGGTCCCTGGACCAGGCGCTGGTACCTCCAGGGCCAACAGTGCCTGTCATGAGAGCCATTGCCATTCCAAGCCAGGCTCCTGCCATCTTTTCCCAGGGCTCTTGCAGCAGCCTCCGTTATTGGTCTCCCTGCCTCCAGCCTCTCCCCTCCAAATCCATCCACCACAGGACTCCCAAGTCACCCTGCTAAAAATGCCAATTTCAGTATGGCACTCCCCTGGTCCCGTGCCTGTCCTGCCCAGAGCGTAAAGTTCAAAGGCCTTCACGTGGCTTGGAAGGCTCCACGTGAGCTGCCCTGGGCTGCCATTCAGGCCACTGCCGCCCGGCTCTCCCTCCCACACCTTCACTCCCCGCTCCTGTGGAAACGAGTGCCCACCATGTCTCGTTCCCTCCCAGATCAAATGCCACCTCCTCCCTGCCAAGGTCCACAGCACTCAAGACTGCAGAGGTGCGCCCAACACTGGGATCAGTGCCTGAGCCTCTGTGGACGCTAAAGTCCCAGCTCCTTGAGGACGCCCATCCGTGTGTGAGGCACCTGGAATGGAACCCCGGTAAGCACGTGTCTGTGCACCTACTTGTCACCCCACAGCCTGGAGCATGTCTTACATATGTTCAACGCTGCACTGCGACCTGGGGCTGATGGCGGGGGTGGGGGTCCCACCGGGTGCCTGCCCTCCAGCAGCTCCCAGTGCTCTGGAGAGCCAGACAGGACAGCAGGCCAAGACCCAACCAACAGGCTGAGGGCTCTGGCAGGGGTGCGCTCAAAAGGCTGTGGGTGTCCCGAGGAAGGAGGAATACGTTTTGCCCCGGGAACTGGAGACTTCTGAAAAGGAGACAGGACGTGTGAGCTGGGTCTTTGAAGGCTGTATAGGAGTATGTGTGACATGCAGACGCCTGGGCAGGCTTTGCTTCCCTTGCACGGTGCCAGGCACACACACCCAGCTGCACCTTGACCCAAAGGACTTGGAAATGGGGTCTTGGCCCTGCCTGCCACTCCTCGGTGGCAAGACCTGAGACAGTTCTCGACTCCAGCCTGACCCTCAGCTTCCCAGTCTGAAAATGAAAGGACTGAAGTACATCATTCCCCAGGTCCCTGCCAGCTCTGAAACTAGTAGTTACAGCAAGAAAAAACGCTCAGAAGCCAAGCTCAGCTTCTGTGAGGCGGCAAACAGAGGAGCTGAAGCACTTCGGGGGCACTTTCTTCCCAGATCTGAGCACAGCTTCACTTCTTATCTAAGCAGCTGCTCTCACAGTGACGGGGGATGGAGGACAGCTCCTCAGATAAAGAACAACCCCCATCTTCCCCCCAGCGGGTTGAGTGGTGCCCGTGTACCCCAGGGGTGGGGGAGGAAGAAACCAGGCTGTTACCGTGCATACATCCACTCCAGGATTTCCAAGCGGTACTTCGAGGGGCTACACAGCAGTTCCTGAATGGTCTTTGGTTCTGTGATATAAAGACCCTGGAGGAAGGGGCAGCTGAGGTCCTAAGCAAGGAAAGGGAAAGCCAGGAAGCTTTAGAAAGCCAACATCAGCGAAGGGCTGAAACGCACATCTGCAGTCAGGCTCTCAGCGCACCTCCGTTCACGCACGTTCCCGGCCGCCCAGCACCCACCAGGAGGGTCACACACACCCCACCACCCCCGCCGGGCGCGCCCGGCACACTGGCAGCGCTGTCGATCGCGCCCAGAGTTCAGTCCCCCTCATCCGCGGCTCCGGCCGCCCGCCACTTCCCGTCCTTTACGGACGCCCCCTCGGAGCGCAAGCGGTAGTTTGATTTGGTAGCAACTGGGGCTTCGGAGAGATTCCGATCCCGGCTCCAGGCTGTGGGAGCAAAGGGAAAGGGGAGGGAAAGGGCCGACGGGGCCGATCGCGGACGGGAGGGAGGTGTCGCGGGGCGGGGGGGAGAGGAGAGGGGATGAGGGGAGAGCCGGGACGGGGTGGGAGAGGGGAGGGGCGCGCGGGTAGCGGCCCCGGGACCGCTGCCTGACCTCGCGGGGCGGGCCTCCTCACCACCGCTGTCACGGGCACTGGCCGCTGACTCGGAGGGGGAGGCATGGACCCCGCCCATCTGTCTCCTCCGGACCCCGCGAGCTCCTCGAGTGCCGGGCCTGTGGCCCCCGACCCCCGCCGCCCGCCCCTGCACTCACTCCGCGCGCCCGGCCGGGTCTTGCAGCGACAGAAGCTCAGGTGCGGTAGGCGCATGGCGCCTGCCTGAAGTACCAGGCGGTACCAGAATGAAGGCCTGGAGCCGCCCAAGGAGCCGAGAAGGACGCCCCACAAGCCTTCCCCCGCAGCAGGACACAGGGCGCAGCCTGCAGCGGCGACTGGGGCGGCGCGCCGGGCGCCGCCGACTTCCGCAGCAGGCCCTGCCCGCCCCGCCGCCCGGCCCCGGCCGCCCCGGGGCGGCTTCTCGGCCCCGCAGCACCTTCAGCTTCGCGAAGACCTCCACGGCCGCCTCGAACACGCTGTCGTCCCCCTCCTCCTCGTAGCCTCCGCAGCCGCCGCCAGCACCCAGCAAGGCCATGTTTCGCGCTCGGAGCCGCGCCCCGCCCCCACGCCCCGGGCTGACTGGCCGGCCCAGCTGCCAATCAAGCGCCAGCCGGTGCTCCTCCCGCCCACCCGCCTTCACCGGGGCCCGGGAGCGGCCCGGAGACGCGGCCCACCCCTCCCCCACTGCGCCTTTCCCTGGGCCGCGGCTCCGCCCAGGAGGCTGACCTCAAGGAAGGGGACGGAGCTGGGGCTGGCGCTCAGTAGCCCGCTCTCCCGCCAGCCTCCCGCCCGCGGCCGGGGCGGAGGACTCGGCCGGGAGAGCGCCTTCCAGGAGAGGGCGCTCCTACCCTAGTCGGTTTCTCCGCGGGAGGAAGAAGCGGGGCCTGGGTGACCGGACAGAACTGGCACTTGAGCGCCCCATCTCCCAGCGCGGGGCTCTGTCTCCGTTTTCCCACACTCACAACTGTAGTCAGAGGGAGGTTTCATGGGTTCGAATCCGGCCCCAGCTGTGTGACTTTGGGCGGGTTACCTAACCTCTCTGTGCCTCCTTACCCTCACCTAATGTGGATAATGAAACCACTTAACCTCCTTGGGTTGTTATGAGGATGGAATGAGGTAATAATTCCTATAAAATACCTAGAACAATACCTGGCATGCAAAAAACACTATGTACGTGTTCACTATTATTATGCTGGGCCCTGCTCCTTCCACCTACCCTTCCTCCAGTCTGTCTTCGACCTTCTGGAAGGTTCTGTGCCTCCTTCCTGCCCTGTCCACTTACAAATGTCTTTGCACCTCTCATGCCCCTCAAACTCAATGAGTCCGAAATGACATTTGTCAGCCTGTCCTCTCCACACACCTCCAAAACCCCCAGCTCAGTGAATGCCCCCATCCCCCGGACCTGCCGATCACATGAGGTAGGAAGGAGCTGGAGGGTGGCTGGTGCCCAAGGAGTGGGGAACCAGCAGCAGGCAGCTGCTGCCCGCCCTCCTTGATCCTCTCCAGAGTCTGTCCCTGCTCTGTGCCCCACCCTGCCATCTCCTGGCGGGTGGGATCGGGGCAGGTCTAGAGGCGAGGAGACATAGGGACCTGGCAGGAGGCAACTGCAGTCCTCTGAGTGACAGGAGAGGACTTAGCCCTGTTCTGGGAGAAGGGGATGGGCAGGCGTCTGGGCTAACAGGAAGGGACCCCAGCCCGGCCTTATGGGGCAGGGCCTGATTCCCTACTGAACGGTTTGGAATTGCAAGCTAGTCTGAGGACACAGAGCCTCTGAACTTGAGCTGCAGGGATGCCCCAGCCCAGGGACCCAGGGACCCAGAGACTCGCAAAGCAAGTCTGCTCCGACGTGGCTGCCGACTTGGGCCCTTCTGGCAGCTGAAGGCTGGAGGGGTCTTTGGGTTGTTTTGTTAAATCTTTTTTTCCCCTTTCCTGTTTTTGTTTTTCTTTCTTTTTAAACAATTTCATTTCCATCACAGCCCAGCTCAGACGTTCAAATTCTTGTGGGTTTTCCTGTGGAGCTTTCCTAGGACTAGGGAATTTGGCGGGAGAAACCATGGCAGTGCGGTGGCCTTCCCCACCCTCCGCATATCCTCTGCTCCTGAGGCTCGGGGGAAAAACCAGCCCCTGTGTATTCTGGAAGAAAATTCCCCTTCTCCACCCAGCTCCACGGAGCCAGTAGTCTAAACAGCCCTTCCCCGACTCAGCAGCTCTGTCTATGGCACAGGGTGGGACTGTGGGATTGTCAGGGCCTTGATGGGAGAAGACCATCTTAAAGGGTCATGGGCTTCGTCCCGTGCATGGAGAACCCGCTGGCCAGCCCTAAGCTCATGGACATGGCAGCTGAAGACGCAGCAGCAGGCCGCAGCCTCCCCAGCCCCGAATCGTGGTGCCTCCCAGGCGTCCTCCACCGGAAAGACTGGAGGCTGGGATGGGAACAGAGACTACTGGGCCTCTCTAGGGGGGGGGAGAAAGGGCTGCCGAGTGGTAGAAGCTTCTGGAAATGTGGACTCAAACTCAATACAAAGAAGTGCTTCTCTCAGAGGGCACTGTCTAAACACTAACTGGCTGCCTGGAAAGAGAGGAGGAGCTCTCTGTCTCGGGATGTATGCAAGCTCAAGGAGGCAGGGAGGGATGTGGGGTGGCTTGCTACGGCGAGCAGGGAGTGGACAGCTCTGTAGGGCGCATCCCTGCCCAGAGCCCCTGGCTTCTGTGAGGGAGGCCTGGGCCGGTCAGGGGCTGAAAACGGGGCTGAAGGACAGGTCCACCTGGGAGGGGATGCAGCTGGGGGGCAGATGTCAGCAGAGGCTGTGGGGCCCTGAGCAGACCCGAGCACTGAGCCAACCTCCTGATCATGGAGGAAACTTGGCCATGTGTCAGTGCTTGGAAAACAGGTTGGAAAATGAGACCAGTTGACAGGTACTGGCCTCACTGTGTCAGGGATGGGCTGGCAGCAAGCAGCGGTGGCTGAGGCAGCCAGCCACGTGACGCACCTCGCCTGGTGCCTCGGGCACAGGAACGTATAGCCAAGCAGGTGGCTTCACCCCATGGCCTCGCTGCCCTGGAGCAGTGGGCTGTTGGCCAGAGGTGCGCAGGTCATCGGGCAAGAGGAAGGGTCCCTAGAGCATCTCAGCCCCGACGTTCCAGCTGCCTTTAGCAGCAGACCCCAGGGTGCTGGGGGAATCTGACCCCCCAACAGCCAGTCGAAGAAAGCTGAAGTTCAAGTGTTACCTCTCCAGCAAGGAAGAGAAGGCGGATTGGCTTCTGCTGCATCTGACAGGGGTTGAAGGCCTTGTTCCCAAAGACGGGAGCTTTTGAGGGACGGGGGGGTCCCCTCCAGCTCCCACTTTCCCCACCCCTGAGATTCCCCAGTAAGAAAAGGAGATTAAAGGACTCCTCACCACATCCTCTGGTGAGCACCAAATGCAGGCTCCTGGAGAAAAGGCAGGTGGAGAGCGTATGTGTGAGAGAGAGAGGGACAGAGGGAGAGAGGTTTCAGGGGAAGAATTCTGTTAGTTATGGGATGAGAAGCTCTATGGGAGAAGTAAGTGGCAGGGCCTGGCACTGGATCTGGGGGAGAAATGATGCAGGGTAATGAGGCCAGGCTGAGGGTGGTCTGAGTTCAAGGTTCTCCAGGAGAGGCGAAGTGAGAGGGCTGTCTCTCCCCTCGCTCTCCCCCGCTCCCCCTTCCCGAACCTCTCTCATCTGCTCGAGACTGAGCCGCCAGGCTGGGCTGTTGGTCACCCATCCACCCAGGTGCCTGGGGCTTGCAGCCAGCCCAGGCCATCTGTGCCAGCCGGAAGCCCACTCAAAAACAAACCATCTTCACGCAGATGGGAGGAGGGGTAGAGAACAGGAAAGTGGGGGGCGCTTGCAAATGAGATTGGGAAGAGCCTCAAGGCCGCAGGGACCCCAAACTTTGACCTGAGCAATGAGACCCAAAGGGTTCCAGGAACAAGAATGACACCAACTTTCCTTCGGGTGGCTGTCATTCAGCATCCCAGAGGCCCTGGGAACTGGCCTGGCCAAGCACAAGCTACGGGGGTGGCAGAAGTCTGGAGGGCCCCAGAGCTGCCACTATGGGCCCGACAGACGTGGGCCTGCCACGAGGGTAGTCTTGGGGGCAGTCTAGTGGTCTCTGGTCCTAGCACTGGGTGGATAAGAATGTCAACCTAGGAGCTGCCTGGTGACTGCCAGTTCCGGAATGCTCTCATTCTAGGCCTGTGTCCACACTGAGAGACTACCAGCACAAGAGGATGGAGAAGCTGCCCTGGGACCTTGGCCTCCTCTTCCTGTCGCGTCTGATCCCTATGCTGGGGCAGGGACCACAGCAGCCCAAGGTAGGGGCAGCTGAAGAGCCAGCCCTTGAGAGGGGCAGGTGGCTCCCTGCCCATGGGACACCTAGGCAAGGCTGCCCTCACAGCAGGTCAAACCCTGGACCTCCTGCTTTAGGGCCCCACCCCCACGTCCTGCTGCTCAGGGGCCCTTGGGAGCTCAGAGGACCCCACACGCTCCCAGGCCACAAGCTCCTGCAAGAGCACGTTTCGTATGCCCAGGACCCGGATCGGATCCCAGCCCACTCCGAGGGCCTGCGAGGGTCTGCGGGTCCGCTTGGAGGCCCGAGGCGCTTGTGCCGGTGCGGACGCAGCCAGGCTGCGTGGGCGGGGCTGTCCCCACCAGGTCGCTCCCGGCCCTGGTGGATCCTGGGGTGAGCCACCGGGGAGGGGGGGGGCTGACCGGGCCTCTGGGGGTTTGGGGGCTCCCCGCTCGCGCCCTCGCGCTCAGGGTCTCTGGCGATCCAGGCGCACGCGCCCAGCGCAGAGAAGGGTGAACAAGCCGGGGCGCGTGCACGCGGCGCGGGCGAGGCGGGGACGCGCGGCTGCACATGCGCTGGGGGCTCGGCGGCCCCCGGGCGGCGGCGGAGGAAATGGCGGGCGGGACGGCCCCCTCCACGGGGAGACGCTCGGGTCTAGACGGCTTGGCAAGACCGGCGGGGCTGAGTCACATGCGTCTGGAGCTGGAGACGCGGGCGCCAGGACTGGAACGTGAACGTGCCCACTCGGGAGGGCCGGCGGCGGGCGGTGGACCTCGCCTTCCCTCTCCCTCGCCCCCAGCCCTCCCTCGAGCCCCAGCGTCTGCCCAGACTCTGTCCCATGTCTGAGGCCCCTCCATGCCCACCTGGAGGGGCAGAGGCAATTTCTACAGGGAGTCAAGCAGGGCCCACGTTATTGGCAAGAACCATCTGGAATTTCAGACGGGAAGGAGGATGGGAAAGCGGCCTTCACGTGCCCCTATCCCAGCCATGGCCCTGCTCCCCCGACCCAGCCACATCGGCCACCTGGGACCTTTTTGCCCCCAAACCACTCTGGCTGCTTTCCACCTCCTCCGGCCCACCTTCCACTGGCACCCTCCCCAGGGATGCCCACAGC